CTAAGCAGGGCCTTAGCGGGGCCGACGGGGCCTAAGCGGGGCCGTAGCGGGGCCGACAGGGCCGACGGGGCCGTAGCGAGGCCGTAGCGGGGCCTAAGCGGGGCCGACGGGGCCGTAGCGGGGCCGTAGCGGGGCCTAAGCGGGGCCGACGGGGCCGTAGCGAGGCCGTAGCGGGGCCGTAGCGGGGCCGACGGGGCCTAAGCGGGGCCGTAGCGGGGCCTAAGCGAGGCTGTAGAGGGCGGCTCGAGGGGCAGTATGGGCGGTCAAAAGGGGCCACTAAGGCGGCTCGAGACGCTACTCGGGTTAGGAGCTAGGCGCGCTCCGGGCAGGGAAGGAAAAAAAAGTTCGTGGTGGGCCCTAGGCAGTATTCCCACTCGGGAACCTGCTCGATACCATGACGAGAAGTGAGAATGGAATGAATGAACTATGAAACAGTTGGGTACAAGTACTAACCCTAATTGGGTTGTACCCCTTTTGGGCTACCCCACTACAGCCTACACAAATGTATAAGCTATAATGTTATGACACTACCTGCGGGTGTAACATCTACGGCCTGACTTGCGACAGTAATCTTCGACAGGGCGACCACGGGAATGCGCGAGGGAAAGGCCTAAACCGATGCCGGTAGGGAGAAAGGCGATAGGTGAACGGGATTCAAGGCCAACGTCCTGCACTACATTTTGTACATCGGCACCCAGCTGTAAGAGACGATAAACACAATCTTGAGCACCGGTTGTAGTGTTGTCTCACTCAAGCTGGCTGTCCGCGACATACACAGCTATAGACGGACTGCTGAAGTCGAGCGTGTTGTCACCCTCTGTCTTAGCCACTGTCAGAGCCACGGTTCCAACCTGAGGTTCGTCCGGCATAACGCATGCGCGCCATCGCCCTGGTGCCTCAGCATGCGGCGTCACTGCTGTCCAAGTCACAGCATGGTCATAGCATGCGGCGTCACTGCTGCCCAAGTCACAGCATGCGGTGTCACTGCTGTCCTAGTCACAGCATGCGGCGTCACTGCTGTCCCAGTCACAGCATGCGGCGTCACTGCTGTCCAAGTCACAGCATGCGGCGTCACTGCTGTCCAAGTCACAGCATGGTCATGGCATGCAGCGTCACTGCTGCCCAAGTCACAGCATGCGGCGGCACTGGTGTCCTAGTCACATCATGGAGCGTCACTGCTGCCCAAGTCACAGCATGCGGCGTCACTGCTGTCCCAGTCACAGCATGCGGCGTCACATATGCTTGTGTCACAGCATAAGGTCACTGCGAGGCACGTCATAGCGAGCGGTGTCAGTGCTGCTTATGAGAGACCTCACTTCTGCTCACGTCATAGCGTGCGGTGTCACCGCTGCTTAGGTCCCGTCATATGGTTACTATTGCCCACGTCATAGCGTGCGGTGTCACTGCTTCTTATTCCACATCATATAAGTACTGCTGCACACGTCATAGCGTGCGGTGTCACTGGAGCTTATGTCACATCATATGGTCACTGCTCCTCACGTAATAACATGCGGTGTCATTGTTGCATGTGCTTACATCACATGGTCACTGCTGCCCACGTCATAGCGTGCGGTGTCACCGCTGCATGTGCTCACATCGTATGGTCACTGCTGCCCACGTCATAAGGTGCGGTGTCACTGCTGCTCATGGCACATCATATGGTTACTGCTGCCCACATCATAGGGTGCGGTGTCACTGCTGATAATGTCACGGCAACTGCACACTGCGGCTCGTGTCAAAGCATGTAGCCTCTGCTGCTGGCATCCCAACATGAGCTGACACTGCTGCCAAGTCACAGCATTATGTTAATTTGACGTTTTATGTCACATCCTCTGGTCACTGATGTCTTTGACAGCAAGGGTGCTCATAAGGTCTATTTCCTGTTTATGTCACAGCATCTCATCAATGCTTTTTATGCCTGTCCATGTGCTCACTCCTGCTAATGTCACAGCATCATATCACTACTGCTCATGTCAAAGCATGTAGTGTATAGGGTTGGAGTCACCACATGAGGCGCTACTGCTGCCAAGCCACAGCATAATGGCACTAATATTGATGTCATAGTATCCCATCACAACTTTTTATGCTAGCGCATGTGCTCGCTCCAGCCCATCACACAACAGCATATCCCAAGGGCGCATGTCAAAGCAGACTGTCTAGTGCTGGCGTCACAACAAGAGGCGCTACTACTTACAATTCACAATATAATGTCTATTTCCACTTTCTGTCACCGCATTTCATCCCTGCTTTCTATGACTGCGCATATGCTCGCTCCTGCCCATGTCACAGCATCATGTCCCTGCTGCTCATGTCAAGCATGTAGTGTGTACTATTGGTGTCACAACATGAGTTGACACTGCTGCCATGTCAGAGCATAAGGTCTAGGACCAGTTTATGTCACGTTCAAATCATCATCCTTGCTCTAAGAGCAAGGCATCATACCCCTGCGGCTCATGGCAAGGCATGTAGTGTCTACTGCTGGCGTTTAGAGCACAAGGTCACTGCTGTTTATGTCACAGCATCTCATCACTGCTTTTTTTGCCACTCCTTCTCATGTCACGGCATCGTATATCTGCTGCCCTATGTCAAAGCATGCAATGTCTACTGCTGGCGTCACAACATGAGCCGACACTACTGCCATGTCAAAGCATAAGGTCACTGTTGTAACCTGTCACGGTATCTCATCAATGCTTTCTAATCCTTGAGCATGTGCTCACTCTTGCTCCTGTCACAGCTTCAATTATCTGCTGCTCATGTCACAGCTTCATATAACTGCTGCTGGTGTCACATGATGTAGAGTCTGCTGCTGGCGTCACAGCATGGGGCAACACTTCTACCATGTCACAGCATAATGTCTCAGCTCTAGATGCTCAACTCACAGCATATGTCCGCCAACTGCACGCATCATAGCGTACAGTGTCACTTCTGCAAATGTCACAGCATGGCAGGGTTGCTGCTGCTCATGTCAAAGCATGTAGTGTGTGCAAGGGGCGTTACAAGTTGAACCGACATTGCTGCCATGTCACAGCATAGGGTCACAGCTCTGCAGTTCATAGCACCATACCACTGCTCTGTGATCTTACAGCATGTGCTCACTCCTTCTCATGTCGCAGCTTCACATCACTCTACTCATGTCACAGTATGTAGTGTCTGCTGCTAGCGTCAATGAAATTAGGCAACAAATCTGCTATCTCACAACATAAGATCAGTTGGCGCTGGCCCTAGCATCATATCACTGCTTACTCTTGTCACCACAAGTGCTCACTCCTCCTCGTGTCACAGCATCATATCACGTTGGCGTGTGTCAACGTTGGCGCGTGTCAACGTTGGCGCGTGTCAAGGCATGTAGTGTCTACCGCTGGCGTTGCAACGTGACGCATAAGGTCTATGATGTTTATGTCAAACCATCTCATCGCTGCTTTTTTTGTTTGAGCATGTGCACACTCTTGCTCGTGTCACGGCATCATATAACTACTGCTCATGTCATGCAAGGTCTATTGCCGGCGTCACAACATGAGCCGACACTGCTGCCATGTCAAAGCATAAGGTCACTGTTGTTTCCTGTCAAAGTATTTCAACAATGCTTTCTAATCCTTCCTGTCACGGCTTCGCATAGCTGCTGCTCATGTCACAGCTTCATATAGCTGCTGCTCATGTCACAGCTTCATATAGCTGCTGCTCATGTCACAGCTTCATATAGCTGCTGCTCATGTCACAGCTTCATATAGCTGCTGCTCATGTCACAGCTTCATATAGCTGCTGCTCATGTCACAGCTTCATATAGCTGCTGCTCATGTCACAGCTTCATATAGCTGCTGCTCATGTCACAGCTTCATATAGCTGCTGCTCATGTCACAGCTTCATATAGCTGCTACTCATGTCACAGCTTCATATAGCTGCTGCTCATGTCACAGCTTCATATAGCTGCTGCTCATGTCACAGCTTCATATAGCTGCTGCTCATGACACAGCTTCATATAGCTGCTGCTCATGTCACAGCTTCATATAGCAAATACTCATGTCACTGCTTGAGATTGCTGCTGGTGTCACATGATGTAGGTTCTTCTGCTGGGGTCATAGAATCAGAGGTCCACTGGTGATCCCCGATTGATCCTAGGGAAGGGTTACAGGCACGTTGGCCTGGGGGGTTATGGGCGCAGTGACCCGCTACTTAACAAGCCCTTTCATCCCAATAGTCTAGTGGTTGGGATTCTGACATGGTATCAGAGCTAAGGTCTCGGGTTCGAATCGCGGTGTGTGCATTACGGGCATCCCAGTGCGGGGGGGTGTCAGAGGTCCACCGGTGATCCTCGATTGATCCTAGGGAAGGGTTACAGGCTCGTTGTCCTAGGGGGTTATGGGCGCACTGACCCGCTACTTAACAAGCCCTTCTATCCCAATGGTCTAGTGGTTGGGATTCTGACACATAGCATGAGGCTACACTGTTGCCAAGTCACAACATGTGATGCGTCTACTACTATATGCCATAAAATCGGATTACTGCTCTATATGTCACAGCATGGGCTCTCTCCTGCTCATGTCACAGCATCATACCACTACTGCTCTTCTCACATTACGTGCTCACTGCTGCTGATGTCGTCACCATGTGCTCATTGCTGCTTTTGTCACAGCTCGTGGCCTTCGCCATTGATGTCTCAGCAATAGCATTCTGATGCTCGTTTCAAAGTGTGTGGCTACTGCTCCGCCTCTCACAGCATGTGCTCACTTCTGCTCTGTATCCCTCTGTTGCCCATAACGACATTGCCTCCCATCATGGAGGTGCAGCTTGCTACTCATGGCTCCAGTGACAAGTGCAAGGTTACATGCGGCAACGCAAGCATGCAAAGATGCAACGACGGGAAGCGTGAACATATCGCGGCACATGCGACCGTTACTGTGCGTGTTACGCGTAGGGTTGTCCACCTTGTTTGCTGGCGAGAGGGGGGCGACGGCCGACGACGTGATTCATTTCTTAGCGGAGGCAGCACCTGAGGCTACGTCATGGCTCATCAGGGCTGGCCTAGCCGCTGGTGAGTTGGGTTATTGATGGAATGTCACGTGCATGTGAGGAACTAGCGCATAGTTGGCGACTTATGAAGTGTGTGCAGTCGGGGTCTTGAAAAGTGTGGCCGCTTTCTTTGCGCACGCGCCTTGGTCCACGCGTGCGCCTTGGTCCGCGCGCCCTGATCCACACGCACGCCCAGGTGTGTGCGCGCGCCCCTGTGTTGACGCCTGCCCTGCATTCTCTGCCTTACCTCCCACTCCCCATCCCCACCCCCTACTTTCTCCCAACCTCCCCTCCCCCCTCCAGCGACCCACCATAGCTCTGGTGATGGGACCCAAGGGCCTCATCAACCGCCTGCTCGACTCCAGACCTGCATTGCCTGCCCCACTCCCCCACCTCTCTTCCCACTCTCCTCCCCCCAGTGCCCCACGATAGCGCTGGTGATGGGTCCCAAGGGTCTCATCAGCCGTCTCCTCGCGCTTACTCTTAACAACGCCTGCCCTGCAATTCCTCTTGTACCCCCTCTATCCCCTCCCCAACCCCCACTCCCGTGCCCCTCACACTTTCCCTCCCCTCACTACCCGACCATAGCGCTGGTCATGGGACCCAAGGGCCTCGTCAGCCGTCTCCTCGCACCCAGATTCAATGACCTGTATTCTGAAATCTGCCTTCCTCTACCCTCCCCCCTTCCCCCCTTCCCCCCAACGCCCCACGATAGCGCTGGTCATGGGACCCAAGGGCCTCATCACACCCAAATGTGATGACTCCGGTTGTGGATTGTCGGCTCTCCTCGCACCCAAATTCAATGACGTCTGTCCTGCATTGTTTGTCTAATTCCCACCCTGCCACACTCCCCATCCCTCATCCCTGCCCCCCCCATTCACCCCAGTGCCCCACCATAGCGCTGGTCATGGGGCCCAAGGGCCTCATAAGCCGTCTCCTCGCATCTAGATTCAATGACATCAGTCCTGCGGATCTTGTCTTATTCCCACCCCGCCACACTCCCCATCCCTCATCCCTGCCCCCCCCATTCACCCCAGCGCCCTACCATAGCATTGGTCATGGGTCTCAAGGGTCTCATCAGCCGCCTCCTCACACCCAAATTCATCGGCGTCTGTCCTGTATTGTTTGTCTTATTCCCACCCCGCCACACTCCCCTTCCCTCATCCCTGCCCCCCCCATTCACCCCAGAGCCCCACCATAGCGTTGGTCATGGGTCTCAAGGGTCTCATCTGCCGCCTCCTCGCACCCAAATTCATCGGCGTCTGTCCTGCATTATGAGACTTATTCCCACCCCGCCACACTCCCCATCCCTCATCCCTGCCCCCCCCATTCACCCCAGCGCGCTGGACATTGAGCCCAAGGGCCTCATCAGCCGTCTCCTCGCACCCAAATTCAGTGACGTGTCTTTCAAATTCTTCCTTACTCTACCTTCTGTCAAACACTATATATGTGTTATTGCTGTGTAGGCTATAGTGGGTTAGCCTATAGGGGGTACACAACTTTTAGGGTTTCATACTTGTACTGCAATGTTGTCTAGTTCATTCACTCCTCTCATTCTGACATGGTATTACAAGCCTAGGTTAGGAACCTAGGACCGTTCCTAAGGGCCCACCGTTTCCGCTCGAAGCGCCCTCGTGCGCCGTCCTTCCTAGCGCCCTCGTGCGCCTCGCTCCTAGTGCGCCCTCGTGCGCCCTCGTTTTCTCTTCAGCTGCCCGTGTGCAGCCGCTAAAAGCTCGCGCGCGCGGCCTGTTTTTAGGTCGCGTCGCTCGCTAGCCGCCCGCGCGCGGCCTGTTTCTTAGGTGCGCGGCCCGCTAGCTGCTCGCGCCACCCTCTCTGGCCTCGCGCGGCCCGTCAGCCGCTCGTAGACCGCCCCGTGCAGCCGCCGCGTCCCCTTAGGCCGCCGCTCGTGCTAGCCCGCCGCCCGCACGATCGCCGCCGCCCGCATGAATGCAGCAGCGGCCCCCCGCGCAGCTGCACCCTAGGCGCCGCCGCGTAGCGTCACTAGGCCCGCCGTCGCGCCGCCCTCCCTGCCCGAGCCGCGCCGCCCGGGCCGCGCCGCCCTGACCGAGCCGCGCCGCCCCACCTTCAGCACCTACTGTTGCCACTGCTACTGCTACTACTCTTACTGTTCCTACTACTGATTCTACTACTGCTACTGCTACTCCTGCTCCTGCCACTATGGCCAGTCCCACTGTTCTCACCTTTGACGCCAAGGGCCGCCCAATTAAGTTCGATGTCTGGCTTGATGACCTCCACCTGTTCCTCCAGATCACTGCCAAGGACGATGTCTCACTGTACGACCACACATCAGGCGCTGCTCCCGCACCTCCCGCTAGTGCTGACAGTACTGCTCGCTCCCAGTGGCAGACTCGTGATGCTCACGCTCGCCTAGCCGTTCGCAGTCACCTACCCGTAGATGAGCGCGAGCACTTCGGCCAGCATAAGACCGCTAAGGAGCTGTACGACGCAGTAGTCGCGCGCTACTCCTCCCCTGCCACTGCTGCTATAGGCCGTCTCTCACTGTCCTACCTCTTCCCCGACCTGTCCGCCTTTACCACTGTAGCTGACCTCATCACCCACTTCCGTACCAGTGACCTCCGCTACCGTGCCGCACTCCCCCCATACTTCCTCGCCAAGAACCCCCCCCCCCCCCCCGCCCCCCGATGTACCTCACACTGTACCACCTTGTCACGCGCCTCCCCGACTCCCTTCGCACAGTCAGGGACCACTTTCTAGCCCTCTCCCCCACTGACCTCACTGTCGACCTCCTTGAGAAGGAACTCCTAGCAGCTGAGAAGAGCATTGTAGCTGTAGGTGCCTCTCGTGGCGACCCTCGCGCCCCCTTCTTTGAGGGGTGCTCTCCCGTCCCCCTCCTCCCCTCCATTGCCTCTCCTGCTGCTGTCGAATTCCTCGGAGCTGAGGGGGTCGGGGCTGCGTCTGCTCCTAGTGGGAGGCGCAAGGGCGGCAGGGGCAAGGGAGGCATGGGTGGTGGAGGTGGAGGCGGGGGCGGCGGCAGTGGAGGGGGTGGAGGGGGCGGGGGTGGAGGGGGCGGGGGTGGTGGAGAAGGTGGGAGTGGCGCGGGTGGTGGGGGGGTCGGTGGCGGCACAGGGGGTGGTGGAGGCGGCGGTGGTGGAGGTGGTGGGGGTGGTGGTGGCAGTAGTGGCGGCGGTGGAGCGGGTGGCGGGCGCGGTGGAGCGGTACAGCGGGGGGGGTTCGGCGGTGGCTAGAGGCAGCAGCAGCAGCGTCCCGGTGAGACTCCCTCGCCCCAGCAGCTCCGTGAGTGGTACTCTCAGCGTGGGGGGTCTGGGGGTGGGGGTACTGGCACGTACGTCATCCGCACAGGTGACTGCACTGGCCAGACGTGTGGGAGGTTTCACACGGCACAACGCTGCTTCTTTCGCCTCGACGACGCCTGGCGCGAGCAGTTCCCTGACGCCTCTGAGCTGCCCCGCTGGGCTGATCTGCTTAAGAAGGGAATTGATATCTTTGCTCTTGATTATGATGCTATCCTTGCTGCTATGTATGCATTGACTATTAGTGTTGAGGGTGACTGTTACCTGAGTGTACCGCCCGACCCAGGTATTGAGACTGGTGAGGCTGCAGCTCTAGGTGCTAGTGCGTCTGCTGCTCCAGGTCCTGGTGAGGCTGCTGCCCTAGGTGCTAGTGCGTCCGCGTCTGCTGGTACCGCACCTACTGAGGCACTTCACACCTTCACACTAGACTCAGGTGCTTCCCGCTGTTTCTTTCGCGACCGCACTGCCCTAGAGCAGCTCCCTAGACCGGTTGCTGTCTCCCTAGTTGACCCCTCAGGGGGTCCGGTCCTTGCGACCTCCACCACTGCCCTCCCTTGTCCTGCTGTCCCGTCTGGCACGGTGTCAGGCCTCTACCTCCCCTCGTTCTCTACGAACTTGGTGGCGGGTTCCGCGCTCCAGGACGCGGGTGTTCACCAGTTCACCCCGACCTACGAGCGTGTGACGCACTGCACGTGTGCCCGAACGGGTCGTCACCTAACTACCTTTACTAGGCAGCCGGGGTCAGACTTGTACACCCTGACCACTAAGTCCCCTCACGTAGCTGCGTCTGCGTCAGGTCAGCTGTCGGCCCCTTGCTCGTGTCGCTCTCTGTCTCACAGGACTGTCCTCTGGCACCACCGCCTTGGTCACCCGTCACTGCAGTGCCTTCGCGGCATGCAGTCCAGGTTCCTAATCTCCGGTCTTCCCAGAGTTCTCCCTCCCCTACCACCCTCGCCTGCTCCTCCCTGTCTTCCCTGTGTCGAGGGGCAGCAACGTGCCGCTCCTCACTCCTCCTCGTTCCCTCCCACAGAGGCTCCCCTGCAGACTCTTCACCTGGACGTGTGGGGCCCTGCCCGCGTCCGGGGACAGGGCCACGAGCGGTACTTTCTGCTGGTCGTCGAGGACTACACGCGCTACACCACGGTCTTCCCCTTGCGTACCAAGGATGAGGTCCCTGATGTCTTGATCCCCTGGATCTGCGCTGCTCGTCTCCAGCTCCGCCAGCGGTTCCAGTCAAACTTTCCTGTCCTACGTCTGCACTCTGACAGAGGTGGCGAATTTTCCTCTGACCTCTTGGCAGCCTACTGTGCGGAGCACGGCATCCGCCAGACGTTCACTCTCCCGGCCTCTCCGCAGCAGAATGGGGTTGCTGAGCGCCGCATTGGTCTTGTCATGGAGGTCGCTCGTACCTCCATGATTCATGCAGCTGCCCCCCATTTCCTGTGGCCGTTTGCAGTGCAGTACGCCGCGCATCAGCTCAACCTCTGGCCCCGTGTCTCTGTTCCGGAGACCTCGCCTACACTGCGTTGGACGGGGGAGGTTGGCGACGCGTCGGTGTTCCGAGTCTGGGGATGTCGAGCCTTTGTCTGCGACACGTCCGCGGACAAACTCTCCTCCCGTGCGGTTCCCTGTGTCTTCCTTGGCTTTGTCCCTGACGCGCCTGGCTGGCGGTTTTACCACCCCACCTCGCGCCATGTCTTCGCCTCTCAGGACGTCACCTTTGACGAGTCGGTACCCTTTTACCGTCTCTTCCCCTATCGCACTGCCCCGCGCCCCCCCCCGCCGCTCTTCCTCACCCCAGGTGTCCCATCGGTAGACCCCCTCCCTCCCCAGGGTGCTGCTCCCTCACGTGTTTCCCAGGTAGACCCGGTCGAGCCTGTCGAGGTAGCGGTTGACTCTGGTCCTGCGCGAGGTACTGAGTGTGTTGAGCCTGGTGGTGCTAGGTCTAGGGACACTGAGACTGGGGGTGCTGAGCCTAGGGGTGCGGAGTCTGGGGGTGCTGCGACTGGGGGTGCTGAGACTGGGGATGCTGAGACAAGGGGTACTGAGACTGGGGGTGCTGAGCCTGGTGGCGCTCCCTCTTCACAGCAGCTGCGTGAGTGGTACTCTCAGTGCTACAGCCTCCGTCGTGGCACTGCTGGAGCTGGGGAGTCTACTGGAGTCGGGGCTGGTGGCCTCGCAGGTGCAGTGCCGCAGCCAGAGCCTCCCTCCCCTCAGCGGCTACGTGAGTGGTACGCTCGGCGCTGCAGCCTCAGGAGTGGAGCTCCTAGCGTTGAGGTACCGTCGGCTGGAGGCCCTGCTGCTGGAGAAACTGCTGACACTGGTTCTGCTGGAGGTGCTGCTGGTGCTACTGGAGGTCTTGGAGGTCCCGCTGGTACCGCTGGAGGTCCTGGAGCGGCTGGAGGTGCTGCTGGTGCTGCTAGAGGTTCTGGAGCTATTGGAGGTGCTGCTGCTACTGGTGCTGCTGGAGGTTCTGGGGCTGCTGAAGGTACTGCCGGTGCTGGTAGAGGCTCTGGAGCTGTTGGAGGTGCTGCTGGTGCTGGTTCGACTGGAGGTTCTGGTGCTGTCTCTACAGCTTTTAGGGGCGCTTCACGGCCGCGGCCGTACTTCGTTCCGCTCCTTCAGCAGCTTCTTGGTCAGCCGCCTCCCACTAGCCCTCCTCCCTCCTTAGAGTGTCCTCCGCCTGCCCAGTCGCGGTCCCAGCTCCCACCTGCCTCGCCACTTCCCGGTCCTTCTCCCTACTCTGGTCCGACAGGCGGTCTTACAGAGCGTCGTGAGCCTGAGTCTCGTCCTGTGTCGCCTGTGTCGCGTCCTGTGTCACCTGCTCGTGCTAATCGCACTGGTTGCCGTGGTCAGCGTGAGCGTCCCCCACCTGTGCCTGGCACACACTTTATGACTCTTCGTCCTTCCACTGCTCCATAGCGTGTTCCTCTACCGTCTCCTCCTGAGTCCTCTCTTCCTGTCCTTGCTGACCCTGTGTCTGACTCTCTTCGTGCTGCCAGTCCTACTGTCACGCGTCTCCTGGCTACTATTGTCCCTGACCCTTCCTTTGAGTCTGCTGCTGCGTCTGCCCTAGTTGCTGAGCTTGTCGACTTTGCTGCTCACTGTCGTCTAGACTACGCTGCTAGTCTTGTTACTGAGTCTGAGCCTGTCTGTCCTCCGTCCGTCGGGAGTGGGTGTGCTCTACGCACGGACGTCCTTGAGGAAAGACAGGAGGACCTTGAGTGTCTTGCAGCCGCTGGTCCTCATCTCGTGTCCATGCTGATTGCCCCTGAGGGAGACCCGGATGCTCCAGACATCCCGACCCCGCGCTCTTACGCTGAGGCGATCGCGGGTGAGTACTCCTCTCAGTGGCAGTCAGCCATGGATGCAGAGATGGCATACTGGAAGTCCACTGGCACTTACGTTGACGAGGTTCCCCCTCCTGGAGCGAACATCGTCAGTGGCATGTGGATTTTCAGGGTGAAGCGGCCGCCGGGTTCTTCGCCTGTCTTCAAGGCTCGTTACGTTCCTCAAGGCTTCAGTCAGCGAGAGGGAGTAGACTTCTTTCAGACCTTCTCCCCCACCCCAAAGATGACCACTCTTTGGGTGCTACTGCACGTTGCTGCTCAGCGTGACTACGAGCTTCACTCTCTTGACTTCAGCACAGCTTTCTTGCAGGGAGCCTGCACGAGGAGATCTGGCTGCGCCGCCCTCCTGGCTTCACTGGGTCGTTTCCTCCTGGTACCCAGTGGAGCCTCCGGCGGCCAGTCTACGGTCTTTGCCAGGCGCCACGTGAGTGGCACGACACACTGAGGACTACTCTTGTGGCACTTGGGTTCGCGCCCTCTACTGCTGACCCGTCGTTGTTTCTGCGCACTGACACTTCGCTGCCGCCGTTCTACATCCTCGTGTACGTCGACGACTTGGTCTTTGCCACTACTAACACTGATGCTCTCGCCCACGTCAAGTTGGAGCTGCAGAAGAGACACACGTGCACAGACCTGGGTGAACTGCGCAGCTACCTTGGCTTGCAGATCACCCGGGACAGAGCACGCGGCACCATCACACTGACTCACTCACACATGGTGCAGCAGGTCCTTCAGCGCTTCGGCTTCACCTGGTCCTCAGCACAGGCCACTCCTCTGGCTATAGGTCACTCGCTCTCAGCTCAGCCTTCGGATGAGTCCGTAGAGCCGAGTGGTCCTTACCCAGAGCTAGTTGGTTGCCTCATGTACCTGATGACTTGCACTCGTCCTGACCTAGCATACCCTCTTGGCCTTCTGGCCCGCTACGTGGCTCCTGGTCGTCACCGAAAGGTGCACTGGGATGCTGCAAAGAGGGTATTGCGCTACTTGTGCAGTACATTGGGCATGGGGCTCGTGCTTGGAGGAGGGAGCTCAGTTGTTCTCACTGGGCACTCAGACGCTTCTTGGGTTGACGACCAGGCTACTCAGCGGTCGTCACAGGGTTACACCTTCAGCCTTGGCTCTGGTTCAGTTTCTTGGCATTCTACTCGCTTGTCTTCTGTTCTCATCTCCAGTTGTGAGGCTGAGATCTACGCCACAGCCATGGCTGCACAGGAGCTACGCTGGCTCACCTACCTGCTGACCGACCTGGGAGAGCGGCCTAGTTCTCCTCCAGTGCTGTACGCCGACAACAAGGCTGCCATTGCCTTCTGTGAGGAGCACAGATTGGAGCACAGAACGAAGCACAACGCTCTCCGTTACTTCCTGGATCAAGAGCTGCAGCAGCGCGGTCAGCTTCGTCTGCGTTACGTGGCCAGTCAGGCCAACACCGCTGATATATTCACCAAGGCACTTCAGTCCGGTGATCATCAGCGTTTCTGCACTTTGCTTGGGCTTGTGCCCACGTTTCCTCACTTGCTGTAGGCTTTGCCTGTACTGTGATCTCTATATATATATACCTGCCTGTTTGCTTTGCTAGGTTGAGATCACCTTGTTTTTTGTACTGCATATATGCATCTGCATGTGAACTGGCCCTGAGGCCCTTTGCTTGTGCTCAGAGTGTGTGGTGACGTTGTGATCCACCCTGAGCTTGTTTACCTTTCTTGACTGGTCTTGTGACCCCTTGCTCTCCCCCACTTTGCCTATGGGGGTGTGTTAAACACTATATATGTGTTATTGCTGTGTAGGCTATAGTGGGTTAGCCTTTAGGGGGTACACAACTTTTAGGGTTTCATACTGTATAGCAATGTTGTCTAGTTCATTCACTCCTCTCATTCTGCCACCTTCACCCCCAACTCCCATCCCTCACAGATGCTGAGTGTGGACACTCACAGACGGGCGCCACGGTCGAGTTGCACCGCCAAGAGTACCATCGCATTTTCAAGGCCCATGCTCAAGTGCCCTTCGAGAAGGTCACTGATTGATTACAACAGCCGGATCGGGAGCTGTTTGGTGTGAGATATGCCTTTCCGCTTATGCGGTTAGATGATCGCGGGAGACCAAGGCGTGTGGAGGGCTTGTCTTGGGGTGGAGCAAGACGCGGGAAGGCATTTGCTCTACAACGCCAAGGAGGTAATGCCTTTCAAACATGCTACAAAGCCGAACAGGGGTGATGCTGTCTCACGATGACGTATCGCCCCAACGCCCACATCCACTTATCATACCACTATTGCTGAAGTGCAGGTAATGCACAGCGCGCTGCTCGTAGCGGCACCACGAACGATGGTGGGGTGGAGAATGCTACGGCTTCATCTCATCCTTCCGCGCCTCCTTTGCCCGTCGGGGGTGGTGGTGATGGTGAAGGCATACTCTCTACTTCTTCCGTGCCTACTCTGCCCGTCGGAGGTGGTGGTGATGTCGAAGGCATACCCTCTACTCCTTCCGTGCCTCCTTTGCCTGCGGGGGGTGGACATCATGCAAACGGCAGCATCTCATTGCCTACAGCGTCACCGAGCACGATGAATGGCATGCCAGAGGACAGGTGAGCAGTTGATTTACTACAAATTTGGAATTCATGTTACAACCTTATGAAATCATCTGGTCCCACTTAGGCTCTTTACACTTTCACGGCAACCATACGCTCACTATTTGTGTCCTTTTTCTATACCCCTCATAAGGCCTGTTTGCAGCCATCCGCGCGCGAGCGCGCGCGGGACAGTCCCAAGGCATTGGCCTACATCACCAAGTGTTGATGATATCCCTGAGCAACGGGTATGTCTAGTCGAACCACGTACCGTTGTCGGGTTCTTCAAGGGGTGTCGCTTAGTGTGCTCGCATCAAAATACATGCGGAGGTGCTATGTCTCTCAGGTCGTGGAAGTTTTCTTGGGCTTCAGTTGGCATGTTTTGGAGATGTGATAAGTGTTCCCATGGTGTAGAATTCTGGTCGTGCACCAATCGAACCCTTGACAAGAAGAGAGTTGGGGTTGGTGCACGAGTGCCCATGCTACACTCAAAATATGTGGGAGCATTCGCGCTCGCTGGGATGGGGTATCAACAGATGTGGGAGTTTAGCCGCAATTTTGGCATTCCATGTCCTGGCAAAAGCACGTTCTATCGATACTTTGGGGGCGATAATGGGTTATGGAAAACAATACTTAGGGAGGCAGATAAGTCGATGGCTTTGGTGCGGGAGGAGATGAGCAAACGTGACATTCCAACCGAATACGTGACGGTGGATGGCCGATGGTCACATGTCCGAGAGGGTGAGTAGTGCACAGTGTCGTTCATGGACATACCGTCGCGGAAGATCTTGTACTGTGTAACATCACGTAAAGGGGTGGATGATAAATCGTCGATGCGATTCGAGCGGGTGGCATTCGACAGAGGGGTTGATGAGTTGAAGCTGTTGGGGTTCGATGTGAAGGGCATCATCTCAGATCAAGGGACCACGTTTAGAGGCGCTGCGGCAGAGCGAAAGCTGGATCATCAGGTGGATTGGTGGCACGTAAAGCGGACGCTGTACAATCTCTTCTACAAGGAGGTTCAGGATCAGGTGTGGATGGCTGTGGAGGTGGACAAGGCTAGCTATGTCGAGGAGCTATGGTTGGCTAAGGTGGAAGAGTTAAAGCAGTGGTTGAGGACCAAAGGATTGGAGAAAGAGGCGAAGGGGACACTCAAAGCATCACTTGTGAAGGCGGTGTGGGAAGCCATGGGTACCATTGCATATGTGAAGATGACCCCTGATGAAGCAAAGTGGAAGTTTCCTGAGTTGCGAAAATTCCGACGGCTAGGAGGAGAACGGGCAGCGGTAGATGTCCCAGTGGGATATGGCGAGGTGCGTCCTGATACTACTCGAGAGATGCAGCCCATCGTTCGAGATGCTGCGGTTGACGAGGCGGATGCGGGCGCAACCCAAGTTGATGTGCAGTGGGCGGATGTGGAGGAGTTATGGCAATACAATATCCATCCTGTGTGTGGTGCGAGACCATCGTCATTCGCTAATTCTCTCATCGTGCACGCACATGCGGGTGCATGCAGTAACTTACGATTCATCGGCGGGACGACTCCGTGGGCCAACGATGATGAAGCTACTGGTATGAGCGCTTTGTGAAACTTACTTTCCATGCCATATTCAGATTGGAGTACGCCGCTTGTTTCCTAAAATTGTTCATACTGCTCATTTTGACCTGACAGAGACGATGACTGGCTGCAACAACGATGGTGCAGCGGGTGAGACCGACAACCACAGAAGTGACGTCGGAGAGAATTTGCCCCGTTGGACTGGGCGGCGAAAACGAAAACGTGGCGGAGATGAGATAAACGCCGGCGATGAGGAGAGTACGGTGGCGCAGTGCTTCGCCTCACATTTCTTCCATGTGATGATGCATTGCGCGGCGCTGTTGAAAGCGGGCACCCCTATGACTCTCGAAGATGTGGCAAAGGAAATTGGGACGGCACCTAACCTCTGGGTAGGTGACCACTCCGAGTGTGGACGGAATGGGAGTATTCTTCCAAGGTGTGTTACCGAGAAGTGGGGCAAGGAATGTGCACTTTATGAGCCTGGATCGGAAACGCACAAGGCGGTTCTTACATGGTTCAAGAAACGGTGTTCGACAGACAAGGTGAAACCCTATGTTCACGGAGCCAACAGTTCCATAAACGAGTCTTTCCATTCCCTGATCATCAAATACGCTGTTAAGCGTATCAGGTTCAAAGGTAGTCTTGAGGCACGAGTGGGGCTGGCTGTCCTGCATTGGAATAACTCGATGGACATGCTGGTCACATCATATCGCACTCGTGTACGGCAAGTAACTCGGGTGCGACGGGGCAACAAGGATCGAACCCTCGGACCTATGGATTGGTCTTGGGTTGATCAGATCATGGAGGACTGGCAACGATCGCTGGGGTTTGGAGTCGATGATGAGATTATGGAGACGGCCCCAAAGAGGCAGGCGCAACATCCTGTCGACTTACCTTGTGGAGGGCGACACCGATCTGTTGTTGGGCTGGTTACTCCTGTGCGAGAAGGTGGCATAGTCCGCGGCCACGTATTTTATGTAAGATCTGAACCACATTCTCGCCAACCCTTACTCTTGTCTTATGTAATATATTTTGACGCTCCCCTCTTGCGATCATGTTGCAGGTGATGCCACCAACCATCCTCGGTAAACGTTTTGGAAACACTTACGCCGACGTGGAGGGATCTAAATCACCATTTTGTCCAACACGCCGCATCAATTTAGATGTTGGCGATGCCGGTGAGCGCCTTTGAGGGTAGTAGTGCCTATCCTTGTCCATATCACTGCTGCCTTCACCCATAACATGTGCATCTCTCGCTTTGCCCTCTATCTTCACTTTCAGACCCGGTGTGCCCTCTCCCAGCCTTGTCCCATGCTCCCATCCTACTCCCTTCAATGCCCATCTTACGCCCTCATGCTTCAATTCCCCAGTCTAGTCATTCTAAACCCTCCACCTCATTCAATCATAGAGCATTATTTTCCCCTCTCATTCCAACCTTGTTCTCTCAGCTCCTGGACGTGCTTTTGGGGAAGGATACTGGTGTGGAGTTGGTGCCATACGAGTAGAGGGCCATGGTGGTGTCTCCGCGCCTGACCCCAAAGGAGGCCTTGGCGCCCTTTGATGTCAGCCGAGTCGTGGACCCCTCCGAGCACAACCTCAACCACCAATAGGTGCGAGTGCCATCAGTCATGCGAATCAACGGTACATGCGACAGCGTAAGTCAAGTGCAAACCATTGATTTATCATTTACCATGATGTATCTTTCGTAAACCCTTCGTTCGTCTTTGTCGACTTAGCATGCATTGTGATACTACCCAATTATCCCCTTTGTAGCAAAATACAGGCTGCTCCTACTCCATCCGGTTCCATGTCTTCTTGGTTCTAACCTTTGATGCATACTACAACCACTGATTTATCTTTTTGTGCTCGTTTCACTATCATGGCACTAATGTTGCCCATGCCTCACACCCCTCCCCACACATGCGTTCAACCAGCCGCATGGACTATATGTCAACAGCTTTCAAGGTCAGGAGTGGCCCCTTATTGCTCCCAACGTGGTGCTCTCATTACCATTCGTCTCTTTCTTTGCTCTACTTCTCCATGTTTTGCTCCACTGAACTGCAGATCCATTTGGTGTCCGGAACATTTTTGTGTTTGTTGGAAATTTTCACCGCATACAAGACATTACCACCACACGATTGAGTACATGTAGCCTACAGATACTACTCCTCCTACCTGCATGATTTTGGCAGCAACAGGTTGCACCTTCAAAAGCAAGTACGGTAGTTTGATGTTTTTTCTCATGACTCAGCATAATTAGCACGCGTGTGTGTCAAGTGGCTCAAGTCACAGCAGGCGTATACATGTATAAAGGATTTTACATTGAATTTTGGAATCCACGTTTATGCGAATGAGCACTTGTCCACCAAACATGTTTGCCTCAATGGTTCTGGTTTCAAGAATGGCACAACATAAGCTCTCCTGCAGTGCGAGTCAACGGTGGTAAAATTGAGTGCCATCATATGGTGTACGAGCCAACAGGTGGTGCTGGAGGTGGACAACCCCCGGTCTCCATCCACATCAGTGCATTGTCCTTTGTTGAGAGAGGAGGTGTGGTGGCGATGAGCTTGCTGACAGTTGCCACACATGGGGAGATGGTGAGGGAAAGGGAGGCAGAGGGTGGGGGGAAATAGGAGGGAGGGTGAGGAAGGGCAGGGAAGGCAATGGTGGTAGTAGGGGATAGGTATACGGGGAAGGGGTTGAGGAAGACGAGGGACATGGAGAAAGGCGATAAGGAGAAGGGAAACAGAGAGAAAGGGGACAGAGAGAATATGAACTGAGAGGACAGGAGGATGAAAGGACAGGGGCATGTGAGGACAAGAGGACGAGAGGATAGGGGGACAAGAGGTCAGGGGGACGGGGGGATGAGAGGACGGGGGGATGAGAGGACAGGCGGACGAGAGGACAGGGGATGGGGGGATGAGAGGATGGGGGGACGAGAGGACAGGGAACAGGGGGATGAGAGGACGGGGGGGTGAGAATGAGAGGACAAGGGGATGAGAGGACAGGGGGATGAGAGGACAGGGGGATGAGAATGAGAGGACAGGGGGATGAGAATGAGAGGACAGGGGGATGAGAATGAGAGGACAGGGGGATGAGAATGAGAGGACAGGGGGATGAGAATGAGAGGACAGGGGGATGAGAGGACTGGGGGATGAGGGGAAAGGGGGGTGAGAGGACGGGGGGATGAGAGGACAGAGGGGTGAGAGGACGGGGGGATGAGAGGACAGGGGGACGAGAGGACAGGGGGACGAGAGGACAGAGGGATGAGAGGACAGAGGGATGAGAGGACAAGGGGGATGAGAGGATGGGGGGATGATAGGACAGGCGGACGAGAGGACAGGGAACAGGGGGATGAGGGGACAGGGGGGTGAGAGGACGGGGGGATGAGAGAACGGGGGGGTGAGAGGACGGGGGGGTGAGAGGACAGAGGGATGAGAGGACAGAGGGATGAGAGGGGAGAGGGATGAGAGGACGGGGGGATGAGAGGAAGGGGGGATGATAGGACAGACGGACGAGAGGACAGGGGGACGAGAGGATAGGGGGACGAGAGGACAGAGGGACGAGAGGACAGAGGGACGAGAGGACAGGGGGATGAGAGGACAGGGGGATCAGAGGACGGGGGGACGAGAGGACAGGGGGATGAGAGGATAGGGGGATGAGAGGACAGGGGGATGAGAGGACGGGGGGATGAGAGGACGAGGGGATGAGAGGCCGGGGTAATGAGAGGACGGGGGGGGGGTTTTCGCGGGAGGGGAGGGAGGCCGGCGGGAGGGGGGATTCCCGGGCGACACGGAGGGCGATGGCAGGGGAAGCGTGGGCGACGGTGGGGGGAAGCGTGGGCGACGGTGGGGGGAAGCGTGGGCGACGGTGGGGGGAAACGTGGGCGACGGTGGGGGGAAACGTGGGCGACGGTGGGGGGAAACGTGGGCGATGGTGGGGGGAAACGTGGGCGACGGTGGGGGGAAGCGTGGGCGACGGTGGGGGGAAGCGTGGGCGACGGTGGGGATAAGCGTTGGCGACGGTGGGGAAAAGAGTTGGCGACGGTGGGGAATAGAGTTGGCGACGGCGGGGAAAAGCGTTGGCGACGGTGGGGAAAAGCGTTGGCGACGGTGGGGGGAAGCGTGGGTGACGGGGAGGAAGCGTGGGCCACGGTGGGAGGAAGCGTGGGGGACGGTAAGAGGAAGCGTGGGCGACGGTAAGAGGAAGCGTGGGCGACGGTAAGAGGAAGCGTCGGTGACGGTGGGCTGAAGCGGGGGTGACGGTCCGGTGAAGCGTGGGCGATGAGCGTGTGTGAATGTGGGGGGAGGCGTGCGCGATGGTCAGCGGAATTGTGGGTGCACCCAGGGAGGAGGAGGCAGCGACGGTAGAGGGGAAGCGTGAGCGAAGGTGAGGGAAAGGGTGGGGGGAAGCGTGGGCGTGTGCGTAGGGTACGCAGAAGGCGAATGTGATGTTTGAGGATGGGCGATGCCTGGGCGACCGAGTGAGGCAACGCGATACACCGTGGCGTTGCTGTCATACCAAGGCGCTACGACTGGAAAATAAGTCGGGGTGTCTACATTGGCCGAGAGATTGACGGCGGAGGCGGAAGGCTGGGGATACTTTCACGACGCGCGAGCGTGTGCTTCTTTCTAAGCCTGAGACTACTACTCGCTGCAACGACACTTGGAGAGAATGTGGCGGTTGCGTTAGAGGAAACATAATGGCGGCGGCTCGGTTGCAACTAAAGTCGCCAAAGGTCCCTGATTCGTGTCTTTGAACAGAGCACTTAGACTGAAGACTGCCCGTATGAGACGGGAGAACGACTACTAGCATGCCTCATAATATGCGTGTCCAAGCGTTCCCGATGGTTTCCAAGTTTACTCAAGGTGAATAGTGCTTTCCTCTGAGGCGTTTTTCCTGCTTGTTGTTCCAGTTTATAGCTGGCCAATCACGGATCACCTCTGCTGCTTGAAACCGACGGATTGTTCTGAACCAGCTGGTAGCATGGTTATTCACAAAATCAACTTCAAGAAACTTGAATTTGAAAAATACCATGTGAAACTCGGGCTTTAAGCTGAAGGGGAAATGGAGATAGCAAGAAAGTGCAAGGGTTTGGATGGATCCTCTTTCTTCTGATTCAGAATCGTGCCTTGTGCAGCGAAGGGAGTTGGGCACATGCGAGGCCAGGATAGGCAGTGACCTGGCACAGCTGTTTTAACACAAGCGACTGCAGTGAAGACCAAAGCCAATGCACGGGCACGGTGGGGAGATGATGGGACGATGAGACGATGGGGTAATGGGATGGAGGGGTAATGGCTAAATGGGATGATCGGGTGATAGGGTGATGGTGTGATCGTCTGATGGGTTGATGGTCTGACGGTGTGATGGAATGATGAGGTCATGGGTTAACGGTGCGATGGGGGAGTGGTGGGATGATGGCGTGATGGGGGAATGAGATCATGGGACTGTCTCCTCCGCATTGAAGGGTGGTCGTAGGGGAGGATGGGGTGCCCAAGGTTGAAAAAATTGCTAGGCGAAACTTTCTCTTCGAAAGTTTCGCCCGAAAATTTCGCTAGGATTTTGAATATTTCGGCGAAATTTTGTTAGGACAAAAGGAAATGTTTAAAAAACCAAAAAAAAGGGTGACGGGAGGACCAGAAACAATGTTGCGACTCTAGTATCCACTTTAAACGCACAGGACAGGGAGCTCTAGGCTAGACGCCTTGGTGGTGCAGTAGCCTGAAGTAGAGATAAGCGTAATCAAGTAAGCTCGACGGTTAGGTTAGTACTACTGACGAATTTTGCCAGGTTACAAGACTATGGGCCAGGGCCTCAGTTTGGTTTTGAGCTAGGCTGAACCAATCAGAGTAGGTCCAAAAAATTATGCTAAAAAACAGAAAAATCTGCCATTATATGCCAGTTTACACTACAAATCACATAAATTTTCCTGTTTTTTCACAGAAAAATGCTGAATAATCAGCCACAGTTCTAAAAAAGGTCTGAAATCTCAGCCTTTTTTACCCAAATCAGCCTTTTTTCGCTGACTTCTGAGGCCCTGCTATGGGCACTGTCAACTAAGCTCGACGGTTTCGCGACCAGCCCTAACTCATCGATGTTGAAGATTTACCTCCCCACAGCACAAAATTGTCACACTTTGTGGATCCAACCAATTTCTATCTCTAAACCGCGTATTACCGCTCTGGATCTAGAAAACCCAACCCACCCAGTTTTACAATTGGGCTGAGGGGAGCTTTCCGAGATCTAGATCTCAAATCGTCCCCCATTCAATCCTCAATTGCTAGCTGTCTTCTCCAGCGAGGTTTGAAAATTTCGCCGAAAATTTCGCCGAAATTTTGCACCAAATGCAGATTTTGACAGCTCGGCGAAATTAACCGAAGCTTTCAGGCGAAAGCTTCGACAGCGTAATTTTCGCCCAAAAAATGAATATTTCGCCGAAATTTTGAACCTTGAGGGTGCCAATGGCAGTGGTGGCGCACCAGGCAACAAATGATAGCACAGTCCGGATCCTGTAGAGGCAGATTCGATACAAGGCACTACTGCCTCAGCGTAGAGAATGGTTATTCGTGTGTGAGTGTAGAGACGGCAGGGGTGGATGCTACTTGGGAGAAAGGGTAGACAGATATAGGGGGAGCACGGAGGAGCACGGAGGTGGGTGCAGGAAGGGCGGATTGGAGCAGTGTGATGGACGCTGCTGGCTGCCTCACCCAGAGCTCTGCTACAAGTCCTTATCAGCTGTGGGCGACCAGCCTGTTGCAGACGGCGCTCTCCTGGACGCTCTGCGGCAGGTGGCTTGCTTTGGGCTGTCGCTGGTGCCGCTGGACATACGACAGGAGGGAGCGCGGCACTCAGACGCCATGAACGGAGGAGCACGGAGGTGGGTGCAGGAAGGGCGGATTGGAGCAGTGTGATGGACGCTGCTGGCTGTACAATGTACACGTGGGGAGGAGGGGATGGCTATTGGGATGGGGATGGGGGAGGGAACGTTGAAGGGGAACAGGATGGGGGAGCGGATGGGGAAAGGAATGGGAATGGAGAAAGCGGTGGGGATGGGGAAGTGTAAGGTGCATGGACGGGGATGCGGGGACAATGATGGATAGTGTTGGTGGCACAACCGAAACCTGGTGAATGACTTGAACGAAGGGGACCAGTGGGAGGGATAGACCGGTGAGGTGGGTGAGAGAGAGAGAGAGAGGCGGTGAGTGATCGGTCTCAGGGCGTTCAGCCTCGGGGCATTCAGATGCGAGAAATACGTAAGTTATGCAGCACACATGGGCGGAGTATCGGGCAGCTTGATTGAAAAGCACCGACGCAGAGCAATCAGCCGGCCGACATCCAACCTCTCACCGATCAGTCCCCCACAAACTACCCGAGAGTGACCTGAGCCCGCCTCCCTCTCACCACGCACCTCCTTCTCCCGTTGGTCGTCCCTGTGGAAGAACACGGCCTCAGGGCACCCAGCAGACCCCGCCTTACATCACATGCAGCTACAGCAGTGACCTGCTAATGATGCACATGTAGCTTACAACCCTCTCACGACACACCCACTCTCCTTCCTCCTCTGCTCGTCCTTCAGGAAGGAAACTGCGACGAGTCACCCAGCAGCCCCGCCCAGCCTCGCATTATCCATGACCCACGAGTGACTCTCACCAGCTGACCCACCCCTGACTCACTCACAACGCACCTCCTCCCCCTGCTCGCCCCTCCTCAAAAACCACCACGAAGCACCCAGCAGCCCAGCCTCGCCCCCCCCCCCCCCCCCCCCCCCAAGCCTCTCGCCCAGCCCCACAAGAAGCTCCTAAGAGGCATCGCACCACGCACCTTCTTCTCCCGCCGCTCCTCTTTCCATACGGAAACTGCCACGGGGCACCCAGCGGCCCAGCTCCCCCCAGCTTCGCATGCAGCCTGTCTGTCATGCACCTCGGCCACGTCAGCAGCCTCTAGCACGCTGCTGTGCGGGTGCAATGTGCACCGCGCTGTAGAGGCGGGTGGGTGGGAGAGCTGGTGGGGCTGAAGTCAGTGTGGGCGAAGCAGGTGTGGAGCTGGAGGAGGGAGGGGGTGGGGGAGGGGACGAAAGGGGAGAAGGGGGAAAGGGTAAACAACACAGTGGCTTCTGAGAGGGGATGTGGGAGACGGTGCCGTAGTGGCGGGAATTTATGGGCCCGACATCAGTGCAGGAGAAGCAGGTGCAGAGCAGCGCTGGTGGCAAGTGGGGTGGAGGGGTAGGGGGAAGGGAGAAGGTAAAAGGTGTTGAAGCGGAGGTGCGTTGCAGTCTTGACAAGGATTGCACTCAGCAGCCCCGAGTGCGTTGTGCAACCCTGAGAGGACTGACAAATCCAGGTGCGGAGCTGGTGGTAAGAGGAGGTTGCTGGCGGAAGGCAATAGGGTAAACGGAGGAAAGGTGCAGTGCAGCCTTGGCAAGGAGTGCCCTCAGCAGCCCGCAGGTTCCCCGTGACCAGTGCACCCATGCTGCAAGAACGCAGACTCAAAGGGGATGATATGGGGAGGCGAGGGGATGGTGTGCGCCCGCCCGCGCTGTGGGGAGCGAGTCCGTGCAGTGGTGTGGGAGTGGGATAGGCGTGGGTGTAGGAGACGCAGGTGTAGCGCATAGATGGGAGGGGCTGGGGATGGGATGGGAGGTGAAAGAAGGAAAAGGAGCAGTGGCATATGAGAGGAATGTGGGAGAGAGTGCTGTAGGGGCGCACATCTGTGGACCAAAAGTTGGCGTGAGAGAAATAGGTGCAGAGCTGGGGGGGTAAGGGGGGAAACGGGGAGGAGGGATGTGGGAGACAGTGCCGGAGGGGCGTGAGCCTGTGCGTCCGTGTAGGAGTGCCAGGTGCGGATTTGAGAGGGAAGGGGGAGAAGTGGGGAAAGAGGTCAAGGGGAAGCAGGCAGGGGGAAGGACGGACGGCGTAGTGCCTTTGCGAGTAATGAGCTTGTGCTGTGGCGGATGACAGGGATAAACAAGTGCGCAGCTGAATGGATGGGATGGTGGATGCAGGCTGGTGGGGAAGAGGGAACCACGAATTGCGAGAGGAGGGGAGATAGTTGGAGGGGGAAACGACTCTCACGTTCTCAACTCACCTGGACTGCCATCAGCTCCCTCCACTCACTCTCGCAACCATCCTGCACCTCACTCTCACCTCACCCCACAGCCACTTGCAGCGACTCCTCACCGACTCCCAGGAGCTCCCATCTGTGCGACATCCAGCTGTTCAACTGCCCCCTTCCCACCGTTGCCTACGAGTGACTTGAGAAACTCGAGATATTCATGTTCCTACCCGCTTCTCCCCCGCCCCCCACCAACTGTTACCTGGCCTGCCCATCTTGTCATATTCCTGCCCAACTTGTCATATTCCTGCCCAGCTTGTCATATTCCCCCGGGTCACGGCCACCCATTGGTGACACCCCACCATTCCACTCGATTCGGCCCGCGTGGTTGCGACGAGGACGAGTGGCGAGAGACGGTTTGGCAGAGCCTGGCGACAGGGAGGGGGAGGGGGAGGGGGGAGAGGGCAAGCGTGAAGGCAGGCAGGGGTAAGGGGAGGGGAGTGGGTAAAGGACAGGGAGGGGTAAGTGAAAGGGGATGCGTAAGAAATGACTCTCACATTCTCAACTCACCTGGACAGCCATCAGCTCCCTCCACTCACTCTCGCCCACAGCCACTCGCAGAGACTCCTCACCAACTCCCAGAAACTCCCATGTGGGCGACATCCAGCTATTCAACTGCCCCCTTCCCTCGTCACCTACGAGCAAGCTGAGAAAATCAAGATACTCCTACACTCTTCTCCCCGCCCCCCACCGACTCTCACCTTGGCAACACCCAGCTTGTCATGTGCCCCCGGGTCACTGCCACCCATTGGTGACAAATCCACCGCTCCACTCGGCCCGTGTGGATTCGATGAGGACGAGAGGTGAGCGTGAGAGACGGGTCACAGCAGAGCCTGGCGCTGGGGAGGGGGAGGGGGGAGAGGGCAGGAGTGAAGGCAGGGGTAAGGGGAGCGGGAGTGGGTAAAGGAGGGGGAGGGGGTAAGTGAAAGCGGAGAGCGTAAGGGTAAGGAGAGGCGGTAAGGGGCTGGTTCGAGATGGTTCTGAGGTGGCGCCTTGGCAAGCAATGTGGCTGTGCGAGTGGGTGCGAGGAGGGCATGGGAGGGTGGGATGAGAAAGTTGGGCATGGGTGGGCGAGATGGGAAGGGAGTGCTGCAAGGTGTTCTGGACAATGCCCGAAACCACATCGCCTCTCACTCATTGCCTCTCACAGATCGCCCCTCTCACACCCATCAACTTCAACCCCCCTCTTCCCACTATTTAGTCGACTCAGAAGTCCTTTCACCCCCCTCTTCCCTTTCCTTCAACCCCTCTTCCCTGACCCCCTTTTCCCTTCAACCCCCCTCCCCCCCCTCCCTTCAGCCCCCCTTCTTTTAATCCCCCTCCATTAAACCATCCTTCACCAGTCTCCAGACACGAATGGCCATCCCTCAGAGCGTCTCACCTTGGCGACTTCGAGCGGGTCAATGATTGCTCGCCAGCCCCATCAGCACTCCACCCTTCACCACCCCCTCGCCCTCCTTACCCCTCTTCCAACCACCGCCACTGCCACTGCCAATGCCGCTAGCGCTGCTTGGCGGTATCCCCGCCCGTTTCGCCGCCTGCCACAGTGCATGCGGCTTCCGCCGTTCTTCTCCGCCTCTGCCTTTTGAGAACCCATCCTCCGCCTTCACTCGCACGATCCGCCGCCTTCGCCGCGCGCTTGATCCGGCTCCTAAATCTGCATTACCGTCTTTTCAGTCGCAAGCTGAAGCCGGGTTTCGAGTTCTCATACTCAACTTCGCTCGAAGATGGAGGTTGCTTCCAGTGCGGCTTCCGTTCGCCATCCCGTTCGCGATGTGCCGTAGAGGCAGCGATGCTGCCAGTCTAGCCACAGCCGCGCTTGTGATCAGCTCGGGATTTACTGGTACGCGAATTAGCAATAGAGAATCGGACTGAACTTATCTCGTGACCAGGACGGAGAAAAGTTAGAAATTCGTCACTGGGGATTACGTAAGTCCCTGTATGCGGCTCAAAGAAAAGATGGGTGTCACACTACCGCACGCTTATCGTCCATCACGAGGAACAGGCAGCCTGAGCGTCGGCATACTACTTGTATGCGAGGCAAGAGCGAGAATAAGCACCTACAGTCCCATAAGCTTCGAGTTGCACGGAAGTGACAGTCTAGGAGGCATTTGAATTGAATGCAGGAGGAGCCGAAAAACATTCCTTTTCCTTTCAAGCTGGCCAAGGTTGGGCCACCATAGCAAGAAGGGATTGACGAGCTGGTCTCATAGCAAATGATGAGCATCGCACGTTAGTGCCATCTTTGCCGTATTTATTCACACAATGAAACTCTGGACTGTCAACGCGCGATAAGCTAGGTCGCGGGATGAGCGGCTAGACCGCGGGCTGAACAGCTTGTTTACTATGTCGTCAGGTCGCCAGGTCGCCAGGTCACCAGGTCACCAGATCTCTAGTAGTGTAAGGAAATTCCCTTATCCTTACTTCGCGTCCCTGCTCAACGCGTACGTCACTGTAGCACCTCAGTCAGCACCGTTACCACTCACGACCATCGCATCATTCATTATCCCGCCCTCTTCGCACATCGCATCCCGACCTCACGGCTCGGCTGGTAACCCGCGCTCCGGGCCTACGCTTCGACACTTTCCCAACCTCAGCCCCAGGCTCGTCGCGCGACAACCACAGTCCATTACCGTTACCACTATTGTTTCGCTATATAATCCTTCGCTCATGCCTTCGCTCATTGTACTTCTTTGCTTCGATAGTGCAATTCTCGTTCGTTCACTCAATTGCACTCGTAACACTTGGTAATCAGAGCCTACGATCTCATCTCGGACCGCATCCACACCTTCGCTTCCCACTATCTCAATTTTTGGGGGGGGTAGACGTCTCTCAGCGACACAGCACCGCCGCTCGTAGTGCTCTCTCGCAAGCACGCACGGCCACGACCGAGGCTCTCGCTGAGCTTGCCCGACACCCCCGCCATGGCCGACCTCAATCTCGCCACGTTGACGCAGGAGCAACTCGATCGTCTCGTGCGACAATTGGAGGATTCGGCGCTTGAAATCGCGACGCTCACGGCGGAACGTGACTCCGCTCGTCAACAGTCAACGGTGAATGCTCCGACAACATCCCACGCACCAACCAATGTTTCTGTACATTCGGAGGAGCCGATTGTCATCTCATCCGGCACACCAACGCAACACAACAGCACGGGACAGCGCTCAGGCGCAGCCAGTGACGGCGCAGCCCAACCGATGCCCGGCATGGGAGGGAACAGGAGCACGCTAAGCCCACGGGAGCCCCGAGAAGCCCGTCGGCACGTGGAGTTTGCGGCGACAAGTGGTGAAAACGCCATGATGGCCCCAATGCCACTCAAGCCGCAACGCCCGCCCTGCTTCGACCCAAGCCAACGCGCCGGCCTGACAGTTCAATCGTGGGTCTTCACGATGAATGTGTTTTTCGACGCCAACTACGTCGAGTCGGACGCCGCCAAGATTCGGTATGCGGTTTCACTACTCAGGGGCCCTGCCATGGACTGGTGGCGAGTCATCGTGACGTCGCCACGCGCCTACGAGCCACCGTCGCACGAGGAAGGGCCCTCGGGTCCAGCTGTCACCTGGGGTTCGTTCTGCGAAACAGCCCAATACAGCACGTGGGATGCGTGGTGCGCAGGGCTTCGGGCGCGTTTTGAGCCGATCGCGGCTTCGATTTCGGCGCGTCAGAAACTGCGCACTTGGCGCCAGCTCGGGTCGGTTCAAGACTACACCAGCGGTTTTCTCGCACTTTGCGAACAGGTCGGCTACATGCACGAGGCGGAGCGGGTGGACCGTTACGTCGGAGGGCTGAAGCCGGACATATCGCACGAGATAATGCTACGCGGGCTATCGAATTTCAACGAAATCCTCGCGCTCGCCGAGAAAATCGATATCCTACGCCGACCGAGACCGGGGTCCTATTTCGGACATCGCCCTCGGGGACCGATCGAGCACGCCACTGTACATGCCGTCGCAACGAATGCAGCTGCCACACCATTTAGAGGGCGCTGCTTTGCTTGCAACCGGCCGGGCCATCGCAAGAGCGAATGTCCAGAGGAGCTGAGGCGTCGAGGAGCAGAGCAGGGGAAGGAGTCTCAGAGGCAGGGAAACGCCAGCAGTCAGTAGAAGTTGGGCCAACTACTGACGAGACTGCCTGCTCGCCCAACCACACCGACCTGTCAGATTTATATGACATAGATGCTGTAGGCTATAGTGGGGTAGCACATATGGGGTACAGGGTTTCTAGGGTTGTATTTGTACCCAATCTTTCCTTAGTCATTTCATTCCTGTTTTCCTTGCTTCACATGGTATCAGAGCGGGTCCTGCCTTAGGACCGTTTTTTTAGGGCCCACCGAAGCGCGCCCCGAGGCGCGCCTTTTTTTAGCGACCCCTCGGGTCGCCTTTTCCCTCGCGACCCCACTGTCCCTCAGACGCGGCCCCGCCACCTCTCCTGATCGCGGCCCCGCCGCCTGCTTGACGCGGCCCCGCCGCCTCCCCTGACGCGGCCCCGCCGCCTCCCC